AAAAAGAAATCTACTATGCTATTGTTGAGTATCAGCTTTACAGAAGTAGCAATCAACCTTGGAATACTTACTGCATGAGAAACAATCTTTCAATACCTCTTGGCCAACTGTTACTTTTATATGAAATCAATCTAGGATAATAAGAAAACACCTAAGATAATAAGGAATCAAACGTATGATAATAAGAAAGTCCTTTCCCATCTTACATCCTGAAATCTTAAAAATCTACAACCAACACTACCTAGTAAGTCATAACACAGAACACTCTATACTTGAGAAGAATCTACCCGTAAGAACTCTGCTTCCACAGGATTATGTTTGTAGGTCATACAAAATCAAGTGATTTATAAAAAGAATGCTTAAATGATGTTTAAAACTGTTACACTGAATCCAAGATTGGTTGGTAGAAAATCTGGAAAATTTGAAAAAATACATGACTTGTGAAAATATAATATATATATAGTTTATAAAACTTATAGATGACAAAGGAGACCTTTATTATTAGTCAAAGAATGAAGCTTCACTCATTCACTCAACACCTGCTATGTACTAGGCATTGTATCAGGTTCTGAGAATACAATAATAACAAGATAGAGCCAGTCCCAGCCTTCACAGATTCAAGAATATAGTGGGAAAGACAGGAATAAGCAATTCTAGTATCATGCGGTAAGTGTTATTGAAAGGAAAAGTCCAGAGTGTTATGGAATTACACAGTAGTGTGCTTTGGTAGAGAGGGGTTTCAGAAAAGGCAAAATTATCTGTGTTGTGACTTAAAAGGATGAGAAGGGGGTAGTGTACCGTCTTCAAAAGAACATCCAAAGGCCAGAATCAAGAGGAAGTGGCAAGAGATGAAGTTGAAGAGGTAAGCAGAATCAAGATCTTGAAGGTCTTAAATCATGATAAAGAATAGGAACTTTATCTTGAGGGCAGTGATTGTAAACCAGTTAATAGTTTTCAGAATGAGACTGATAGGATTTACTCCTGTAGTGACAAAATGGACTGGAGGAAGACAATAATGAGAGTAGCAGTTATTCGGTAGAGAAATGATAGCTGTAGGAATGTAGTAGTCAGCTATTCTTAAATGATGTAGGATTTTCTGGATGTGTTTGTAGATGAGAACACAAGAGTAAAAAGTTACGGATGGCATCCAAGTTTCTGGCTTAGGAAATTAGATGCGGCACATTAATTAACTAACAAGGGTATTGTTAGTAAAAAGAGGAGCCTGAGTATAAAATACTTGTGAGGTAAGTAAGTGAAGATTCCCTTTAAGTTGGGCCTCATGAGAGGTCTGGGATAGAAACAAGAAATTAGGGAGCCATCAGTATATAAGTGCTAAGCAAAGTTGCTGGAGGGGAAGCAAGCATTGATGAAATGTAAAGATTGTAAGAAAAGAATGCTTATGGTAGAACAACGAAGGTCACTAAAAGGAAGAAGCAGAGAAAGAGCCTGGAAAGGAGACTAAGAATCAGTGAGAGAGGTATCAGGATATTAAAAAATAAATAAATAAATAAAAATCAGGAAAATATGGTATCTCAGAAGTAACAGGAAAAGTTATAATATGAAGAGGACAATATGAAATACTGCCAAGAATCAAGAAAGATAAAGACTGAAAGCTATTCACTGGACTTAATTAAATAGGAATGTTATTGGTGACCCTAACTGTTTTTTTTTTAATGACTAGAAACAGATCATTTGAATGATTTTAATTTCAAAGATGACTGATGACAGCACGTTATTCAGTCCTTGATCCCTTTACTAAAACATTTAGGTAAATCTTCTCAATCCTATTTTAGAGGTCTGGTTTAGATTAGTAGTTCCTAAACACTTCATGTCGGATAACCCCCGTGTAATGTTACAAAAACCTGAACACTAGAATAATTGTATTCTTTGAACATCAGATTAAAAAACAATTGGATAAAAAGTTAGTATAAAGTCAATAATGCTTTTAAATAAATGCATATTTAAAAAAAAATCACAGGTTGTTTGAAAAAAGAAATACTTAAGACATTTAAATGTGGCAGTCCATTCCGTTAACTCAAGCCCACAGACTGAGAAGCACTATGGATAAGATGATTCTCAAAGAACTCTTCCAATTTAAAAATCTGTAATTCTTCAAGTTTAAAAGAAATTACTGAAGCAAAATGGCACAACCTGGTAGATTTTATAACGGCTCAAAGTGGAATATGATCTAACCCTTTAGGTTTCTCAATCTCAGATACTATCAACTACTATTAGATGCTTTTTTTAGTGATACCCTAAAATTCCTGTTAATTAAAAAATATATAAATATCCTCTGCATTTGCTTTACAAGTTTTTGCTATCCCAGAAAAAAAGAAAATTGGATACAGTCTACACTGCATATGAAAATCTCGAACCCAACAGATCAGCGATTCTATTAGTTCATTTTACATTAAGGCGAACATAAAGCAACAGACAAAAATCACTGATTTTCCATTCTATATGCTGATACTGAACCCTCAACAGGAAATATTTGTCCATTCCTTCACTCCTTTAAAAATTATAGCTATTGCTCAGATGGAGAAAGAACAATTAGGACAACAGGATTCTGCCAGTTTTTCCATCAGTTGAAACAAACGATTCCCTATTTACAAAATCCAGAGGCTGCCAATTTAAAGGTGCTATTCAAACGTAGAGCAATTTCTCCAACCACAGATAATAAATTACAGTCGGTGGTTAGTTTCATTTAGTCTAATAATAATTCTAAAAACTGAACTATTAAAAAAAGACAAAAATAGTCTTTCAATGTTTATTGGTCACCAACAGTTACATTCTTATTGTTGCTTTACTAAAGAATCAGCTAGTAATTCAAAACAAGGTTACAGGTGTAAGCCCACAAATTCTACAGGCAAACAATGGTATATATGAGTGTTTTGCCCAGTTTTACTTGGGTCAAAAATAACAAATCATTTTAAACCAGTTCAAGTTATACAAAGAATTCAGTCTTAAAGTCCTATTTTTAACAGCAGTCAAGTGAGTAAAAAATTCTATGTAAAACTAAAGAACTACAAGACACCATGCAATTTAAAAATCATCCGTCCTGAGCCAGACAAAGCTGAAAAACTGAAAAGGAGATTTAAAGAAATCTAAAATCTGAAAGGGAGTTTGCTAAATTCTATGAAATACTAACTAATAGTACAGAATCCCTGGGATGAGGTAGAGTGGTTGGAACTATAACAAAATGTTAAAACTTAGTTTTGGGCCGGCCCGTGGCTCACTCGGGAGAGTGTGGTGCTGATAACACCAAGGCCGCAGGTTCGGATCCCACATAGGGATGGCCGGTTCGCTCACTGGCTGAGCATGGTGCTGAAAACACCAAGTCAAGGGTTAAGATCCCCTTACCGGTCATCTTTAAAAAAAAAAACTTAGTTTCACGTATGGAAAGTATCTTTACTTTTAATGATTATTATAGGACTGAGCACTTTAATGTATCTTTCACTTATCCACTATTCTTCTGTGATTAAAATCAACAAATGAAATAGGAAATGACTTGAGAATTTCAGACATACAAAAATGACGTAAGACAAGCGATAACTAATTCAAAGAATCTTGATAACCACTCTCATCAGCAGCACTCAGAATCATCAATTTCTGGTACTAGAAGAAATATAAGAGATCTAATATTTTAATCCTCTTATTCAGCAGGGATGACACTAAGGTCAGGGAAATAAAATGCCTTTCTCAAAGTAATGATGATGGAGAGCCCAATAGAAAGCACAGACCTCCCTTGTTCTCATAGCCCATGGGTTCTTCCACCATACTGTAATGCATCATTGCTATATTTAAAAATAGGCGACATTTTACTCTCCCATAAGAAAGAGCATATGTTTTCGCATGGCCTAGCACAATGCCCCACACGCTGTAGGCATTAAATTACCGTAGTTCATTCCAAATCAAAACTTTACTTTAAGCTAATTTGACTTAGTAAAAACATGTCCTCGACCTGAACTGTAGAAAGTGGAAATAACCTGCATATGTATACGAAGTTCATATAAACTTGCATGTGTATAAAAACGACTTACATGTGTACATATAAACTGGGAGTTATTTGACCAAACGTTTCTCTGAACTCTGATTTACCCTGGTACTACCACTGTGTAACTCCAGACTCAGATAAAATCCTCCACCTCACCCAACCCCAGTATTGTTGAATGTAGCCAGGCCAATTCTCCCCACAGCTGTCAGATACCAAAAGGATTAATAGTCAGTTCAACAAAACCATAAAAAGCAGTTCACTAGATACTCTAGTCCCTGGCCTAATATCAGAGAATCTGTATCACCCATGTCCAGCTCGGCCATGTACATTTCCAGGTGAAATAGAAAAATGAATTTAAGATGCTTCCAGCCAAAACGTTTAAGAACTCACTCCCATAGATGAAAACAACAAATGACACTGAACAACATTTCACTCTTTAGAACCTGTCTGGGTTATGTTTAAAAAAAAAAAAAATTATAGAAAGCTATCTTCTAATCAGTATTTTTTTTTTTTTTTTTTTTTTTTGCTTTTGTCAACCGGCTGTCACTGCAGTTGCCCATCCCAGCCCCCCAAATAAAAAACATTTCAAAAAGCGGGGAGTGGTTCGTTACTAAAAGGTTCTTACCGATTAAGTTCTAGGCCTTGGAAATCACAAAAGCAATTATATTACAACGTACCACTCGTTAATGAAATCTGGCTTCCTTCGCTTGTTAATTAAATACAATCATCACAATCGCAAATGTCCCCCATACTACAAAACTAGGGATGAAATGCTGTGTCACTGAAAAGCAAAAGATTTTTCTGAAGCCAAAAGAAAACAATCAAAGAATATCGCTAACCTGTCCCCTCGGGCTACTCCATTCCCTACAAAGGCAGCCAGAAATAAGTCTCCCTAAATCCATGTGCTGCCGCTTGGCAGCTTCCGACTGATTGGAAGCCCCTTCACCAGCACAACCAGTCAGGGTACCCGCCGGGTTCCACCTTACGGCCCAGGGCTGCGTCTCACCATTTCCAGGTGAGCACCTTCGGGGTGTCCGCTGCCCGGGGCCGGACTGGCCCTGCCCTCCGGGGTCTTCCGTTCACTGTTGCGCTTCAGACCGCTGGCGTCACCCCGGCCTCCGGCCTCCCGGCGCCGCCGCTGCCGGCTCCACAGGTACATGGCACCCGCGCCCAGCAGCAGAGGTGCCCCGACCGCCAGTGCCAGCTGCCATCGCGGCAGACCGCCCGTCCCGGGGCCCGAAGTCCCGCCGCCGCCCACCCCACTCCCAGAGCCGGGCGCAGCCGCTGCGACCACTGCCGCCTCCACAGGCTTAGAAGCGGCCATGACGAGTGTCCTCCGCCACAGCCTCCCTACCGGTCGCAGGCGCCACAGTCACCAGGCTGCGTGTGAAGGGAGACCGGAGGAAAAGAAGGCAGGCAATGAGCGAGCGAGCACGCTAGGCAGCGAAAGCGGACGACAGAAAAGGGCCAGAGGTCACCGGAAGCCCAGGGCATGCCGGGCCAGACTTGGCTGTCCTTTTCCCCTCGGTGAGGGGGAGTGCTCCAGCCTACGGAGCAGAGGATCACTTCCGGGTTAAGGGAAACCGTGGGGATGAGGTGAGAGTCCTGGTCAGCCCTTTCTTCTTCCTTTCGCCCCGTTGCTCCTTGGGAGAATCACTTCTGAGATCTTCGGCCTCCGCTGGTAGCGGACGTCGTTCCCTCCACCTTCAGGAAAGAAGGGCGGATGGTCCTGTAGCCTAGTGAAGCGAAAGAGGAGTGCGGCAACAGCTGGTTCGGGGTGCGCAAGCGATCGGAGCAGAGGAAGAAGCTCGGCAGCGGCACGAGGAATGGGCGGGAGTGGCAGGAGAGTTGCGAAGGTTATTGGCTGGCAGCAGTGGTGGGCGGGGCGCAGGCCGAGCTGCCCAGTTTATTGGTAGATTTGGGACTCCGTTTTTCCGTTACCGCCACGTTAGCGCTTCTTAGACCTGCGCGGCCGTTAGCTTGGCTTTCTGTCCGCGTGTTGGGAAAGCCAACGGAAAGGAGGGACGTTAAAAGATTTGTGAGGGGAGAGCGCAGAGCTGAAGATAGCCTGCTGTATCACTAACTTCTTATCTCTACCATAGCCAGATTTGAGTTCGGACGAATTTGAGGTTAGTGGGGGCAATAGAACCTGGCAGAAAGACTCAGTGGAAACGGGCAAGTCTAGGTTGGCTCCAGTCGAAACGGCTTGAACCGGCTCCATACGGCTCACCGACTGCACCACTTGCGAAAGCGATGACGTCTGTGTTGTTATGACGTTCTCTAACTGAGTGGGTAGAAATGCGAGGCCCCAGGGTTCCCACCTGCTTCCAGCCTTCCTCGACGTATTTGGATCTTGAGCTGGATTCTTCCTGACACCCGAGGCCGCACCACGCTCCCTGGAGCACCCGGGCCTTCCCCAGCGCTCTTGTCTCCCCCCCCCCCCCCCCGCCCCGTGCTTATTTTGCTAGCTTTCTCAGCGCTCTTGTAGCCTCATTCCCAGATGTTAATTTCAATTCATAGCTTTCGCATCTCTTATAGCTTTGCCAAGTCTTTTCCCCGTGGTCTGCACCAGATCTCTTAAAATATAAAAATTACCCTTGCAGGGCATTGTTTGGAATTCACACTATTTTCAAGAAGAAAAGACAATTTGTAGCTAATCAGTATTCAGAACTATGGCTTCTTATTTCAGATAATAATGGTTTGCAGACCCTTGCATCAAAAATTTATAAAGATCATTTTGCTTTTGAGTGCAGCATGATTTTCATCTTCACAAGTAGCGCTACATAAAGATTGATAATTTAAGTGGCACTAAAATGGAGTGTTTAAAATAGAATGTACTAATTTGAAAGATTCAGGATCATTGCTTTTCTCTTGCTTCATGTAAATTCCTATTTGTAAATTACTTTGAGGCAATAATAGCATAGTAATTCTATTACTATTATTGAATACTATTATAGTACTCTGTTACTTTCTAGCAACAGACTAGAAGAGTGGGCTAAAAATAATAGCAATGGAATTGAGTTTATCATTGCTGGCAATCAGCTTCTCTCCTGATTCCCCCAACCCCCAAAAGCAAATCTTATGCCCCTTAACATAATCTCTGCCTTGCCTTTTCAGTATGGAAAGTTAAGATCTTTCTTTCCTGAAATTTCAATTTTTCTGCGGCCTCTTGGAGGATTGCAGAATGCTAGTAATTATAAACTACTACCAGGAACTAAAACCTGTTTAAAGCTGTTTTTGTTTTGTTTTGTTTTTCTTTTTTTTTTTTCCTTTTTGGCTTTTTTCGTGACCGGTAACGGGATCGCAACCCTCGGTGTCACGCCCGTACCACGACCGGCAACGGGATCACAACCCTCGGTGTCACGCCCACACCGCACTCAACCAGTGAGCGGACAGGTTTCTATATGGGATCCGAACCCTCTGAGGGAGCGCTACCGGCAACGGGATCACAACCCTCGGTGTCACGCCCGCACCGCACTCAACCAGTGAGCGGACAGGTTTCTATATGGGATCCGAACCCTCTGAGGGAGCGCCGCGGTGCTCCCAAGCGCCGCACTCTACCGAGTCCGCCACCGGGCCGGCCCTTGTTTTGTTTTTCTAATTAAACTTTTACTTGTTTATTGTAATCAGTAATAGATTGTTATGATTAAAATCCAAAAGTTATGAAGGGTTACTGTAAAAAGTCTTCCTCTAATCCCTGTCTCTGTCTACACAGTTCCCCTCTCCAAGTTCAATCAGAGTTTTTTGAAACATTTTTAAAATTAATATTTATCTAAACAGTTGATTTTGTTGGATTTTGGTTTTATTTTTAAGAACATTAGTAAATGAATTCGTTCTTGTTACTTTTATACTTCGTTAAACACCTCATTTTCATTCCTTAGTCTATTCATCTCTTTTCTCCCATTTTCTCTTCTATTTCCTGATTGTAATATAGAACTGAACTGAGAGTGTCACTTACTGGCTTTGTGACCTTACTGACCAGATGTGTACTTTTGTAAGCTGTGAAGTAGTGAAAACACACCTCTCCCAGGTTATCTTAAGAATTTAGTTAGCTAATATTTAAAGTCCTTTTGATGTTTATTACAAAATAGACATTTGATGCTTAGTTCTCTTTTTCTAAATTTTAAAGGAGAGAATTAAAAAGTGTGTTTTCTTTCTAAAAAAATCGAAGTTTTGTATATGTGAACACAGACATTTTCTTTCTTCGTAGATTAATGGAACTCAACAGAAGAAGCTTTCTGCACTTCTTATCTGGTCTGTGTCTTAGGAGACAGTTGAATGAGGTAGAAAGTCTAATGGACTAGGATTTGGAAGACCTGAGTTGTTATTCTGTATTTTAATGCCACTGAGCTGTGTGTGTGACTATGCTGACTGTACCAGGACACTTCAAAAAATTCATGGAAAATGGAATTGAAAGAATATGAATCTTTTCATGAACTTTTCAACCACCCCTCTTACAATTTGAGAGGTGGATTAGATGATTTTTAAGGATCCTATTGTTTTAAAATTGTATGATTCTATCCCCTCAATTGTCATTGCTACATGGAAGTCTTTCATATTGGTAGAGTTGGTGAATTACCTGTTGATTGGTGTCTAAACCTTCCAGTGAGCCCACAAATATGTTTTTGTTAAACACATTCATACATCACTGTATTCTCTTTGAACTCTCTTTTAGATTTTCATTCTGTTTTTCTTCACTCAAAAATTACTGGAAAGAATTGTCCATACCTGTTACCTCTACTTATTTGTCATTCATTTCACCCAAAACTGTCATAATCTAGTTTGTAAATTTATAATTAGCCTGAAAATGCTTTAGAAGTAACTAAATTCACTGTTTTTGGCCTTTATATGCTTTTACTTGATTCCACTGGTCATTCTCTCCTTGAAACATTGTTTTCCTTGGCTTTCAGGAGATGAGATTCTCCTGGTTCTTCTACTCTTTGACCAATTTTTAGATCAGTGCTGTCTGACCGAATTTTCTGTGATTTTGGAAATGTTTTATGTCTGTGATGCCCTATATGGTAGCCATTAGCCACACATGTGGCTATTAAGTACTTGAAATGTAGCTAGTGCAATTAAGTAACTACATTTTTCATTTTCATTTTAATTGATTTAAATAACTTCATGTGGCTAATGGCAACCATATTGGGTGGCACAGCTTTAGATTTTCCTCAGTTATATGAATACATCATAAGAATTTGTTTTCTCTTTGTGTGCAATCTCTCTATTAGTAACCAAAGTAAATCTCATTGCCTCAGGCACCATTTCTCTGCAAATAATCTCTATCTACATTTCTTTTGGCATGACTTTTCTCTATATCTCTAGCCTTGTAGTTCTACTACCTACTGAGCAGCTTTGCTTAGATGCCTCATGTTGTCAAAAATATCTCATCATTTTCCCTCTGCATTCTTTCTCTTTGTGTAATCTTTTTTTTTTCCTTCTTCTCCTAATACCACTATTACCTTATGTAAGAAAATAATCTAAGTGATTAATTTTCAGAAATAATTCAGGCTCAGCCTGAAAGTTGTCTGACTGGTCCAGCCCATTCCTGGGGAGCGGGGGTCACTGAATAGATAAAGTTCTCCTTGAGATGGTAATGATTTATTAGCCCTTAGTTGTTTACTTCAAATGGGTAAAGTTCTCCTTGAGATGGTAATGAGTTATCAGCCCTTAATTGTTTACTTCAAATGGTTAAAGTTCTCCTTGAGATGGTAATGAGATAATAGCCCTTTATTGTTATCTTCATTTCCTAATGTTTCTTCTTTCACATGGCTTCAGCAGGCCTTTTTCGTGGGCTTGTCCTGAGCCCTCAGACAAAGAAATTTCTTACAAGGGGGTAATAAATCAGGGTAATCTTAGACGTCATCCAGCAAGATTGTGCACCCTGACCAATGAGAAGGTGGGGGCAAGGACTTGCACACTAGAGAATAAGTTACTTGCTACAACCCTTTTCTGTGTGCCCATCAGACACCTGAACCTTTCAAGGCCATAATTAAAGTCTCACTTCGCTGTACCTTGTGTCTCCGTGTCCATCCTTTGGCCTAGGACGGGTGAGGGCATTTTTCACACTGTTACCCACACTGGAAACCTTTTTAGACCTTTCTCTTTTCAACTCTACCTCCCCAAGCATTAGTGATTATACCAATGTATGCACATATAAACACTCACAGAATCAGTTATGAAGTCTTCAATAAGATTTGTGTTATCTTTTTTTTTTTCTTTTTGTCTTTTTGCGTGTCTGGCAACGGATCGCAACCCTCAGTGTCGCTCCCGCACTGGACTGGGACCAGCAACGGGATCGCAACCCTCGGTGCTGCGCCCGCACCTCGCTCAGCCAGTGAGCGGGAACCGGTCTGCATGTGGGATCTGAACCCTCGGCGGGAGCGCCGCCACGCTCCCAAGCGGCGCACTGTAGCAGTGCGCCACTGGGCCGGCCCTGTGATATCTTTTTTACATTTTTCTTTTCATGTACTCTGACACTGCCCTAGTTGAAATATGTGAAAACACCTAAGAGATGCTCCATAAATAGTTTCTTCCTGTCTTAGTTCAGGCTGCTATAACTAGAGTGCTATAGATTGGGTGGCTTATAAACAACAGAAATTTATTTTTCACAATTCTAGAGGGTGGAAATCTGAGATTAGGGTGGCAGCATAGTCCATTTCTGGTGAAAGCTTCTTCCAGGTTGCAGACTGCAGATTTCTTGTATTCTCACATGGCGGAAAGGGGCAAGAAAGCTCTGGAGTCTCTTTAATAAGGGTACCTGAAAGAGAGTGAGCCAAGATGCCGGGTACCATTCAAGCTTTAGTAAAGGAAAAGAATCTACCGGGCTGTGCTCAAAGTGGGAAACAGCCCGGGTCTGCCCTGAAAATGGGGGACAGCACCAGGTGTGGGGGTGGTAGAGCTTATATAGTGCACCAAGGGCTGGCTGATACCATCAAGGAGGGTCATTATGCTAATGTGGATTGGGGTGGAGAACTGCATCCTTGTGGAAGCAAAAGGGGTTTCTGTTTAAGTCAGGAGGCTTCTCGTAAAGGGAAAGGGGAGGGGAGGAGGTAGGTGGTGCCATTTTGTACTTGGGCTTGTCTAAAGCGGCGCTGGTTATGTTGCAGATCTATTAGCACCTAATTTC